AGAAATTACAGCAAATAAAAAGCCTATTTTTATTAAACTTCAATTCAAAGGTGACGATGTCACAGGATCAATCAATATGAGACTAAAAACTGCACTGACAAGAACTTATCCTGCAGCGAAATCGATTGTCCTGTCCAAAACAACATGCTCCTTGACACAATCAAAGGTCGATAGGTATCCCTTTCATGTTACCACCAACTGTGTATACAAATTTACATGTACCTGCCAAAGCAGTTACATTGGTAGAACAGAAAGGAGAGCCTACGTCCGATTCAAAGAACATATTCCGAAAAGTTTAAGGTTAAATGGATTGAACGCATTCAACAGTGCTATCGCCAGACATCTCCTTGATACAGGACATAAAGCTGATATACTGAAGTCCTTCAAGGTGATTAACAAACAATCAAACTCGAACCTTTTGAAATTCGCTGAAGCGTTAGCAATCAAACGTTTAAAACCAGATCTATGTATACAAAAAGAGACAGTAATAAATCTTTCTTTACCCTGGTAACAATAACCCCCACTCTTTCTATTAATTTGCTCCTATTTATTTATTTATTACGTCATTATTGCAACTCTTTCTGAAATATAAATTACATCATACATAACTGATTGATTTCAATTCATATTTTCTTTATTACCATTAATCTATTTTCATGAGTTCTAATCACTATTTCAATGTTCTGGAACTTTCCCTCTCTAACTTTATTTATTTATTCGAATCAAACATTTTATGAGCTCATTAACTCTATCTGAATATTCGCTACATCATCATACACATGTATTGATCCTTAATCACACTCTTATATATAAATATGTCAATATCTGTATTAATGTTGAATTTTCAAATAATTTAGGTTGTAAGCAGCTGATGAGAACCTAACGAAATAAAATGAATTCATATTATTCTGCACCAATCTTTGTTCTTGCTCTCTTTAAAATATATTAGTTAAATTAATCCCTCTGTGGTTGTCACAGGATGATTTTGATTCTCTCTTATATATTGGGATGATAAGTGATTGTGACCATTCAGATGGAATAACGTCTAATTCCCAGATCTTAGCTAAAATATTAGTCAACCTAATCGCTAAAATTGGACCACCATCCTTAAAGACTTCTGGAGCCAATCCATCTGCCCTTCCTCATTTCAGATTAACTATAGCCTTTTGAACTTCTGCTAGAGTTAAAGGATCTACTTCAATCTTCCATTCACAATGTCTTGGAATGGAGGGTAGTTGTAGAGTAGCTGAAGGCCAGGTGAACTGTTCTCTGAAATGTTCCACCCATCGTTCTAAACGTCTGGACTGAGAGCAGATGAGGGTATCGTCTATTTTCGAAATAATCTCACTTACACTTGACTTATTAGTTCCAGTTTCTTTTATTAGTCTGTAAAGCTGTCTTGTGTTCCCTATAGTCGCCGCCTTTTCCATCTCTTTTCCTTTCGTTACCCACCACTGCTCACGGTCGTTCCTCAGACTTTTGGTTAACCAAAATCTGATTTATTGGCGCTCTTCATCCTGTTCAGAGCCTGATGGGATGAGATTACGAGATACTAAAATACTCACCTAAATGTCTTTCTTTTTGGTTTAAGCTACCTACGCGGGCATTAAAGTCACCTGCTGCGAGTACTATGTCTGAACGTTTAGCTTTATGAAGAAGTTCAAAAAGCTTTTGTAAAAGTCATCTTTCACTTCATCCGGGCTGCAGTCAGTGGATGGAAGAGTAGGCAGAAATGACGAAAAAAGGCGATGACACGTGTCCCTATCCTTCCGAGTTTTTACGGAGCCGTTTAGCCGGACAGCACATAAATGACTGTTAACGGCGGTCACTCTAATAATGCTTGTTACGCCCTTGTACTTAGCACTATGCCTACACCTGCCAGTCCACGAGAACTATCCATCGCGTCGCCAGATACACGGAGGGTGTATCTCGTCGGTTCTCCATTTTGACTAGGTGAGGTCAAATTAATGACCACACTGGGATCCTTTATGCGTGTTTCAGAGACACAGCATACATCAATGGGACGAAATTATATGGTTTTAGCCAAGGAGGTCTGTTGGGCGATTCGACACAGGGTGCGTATGCTGAAGGCTCCGATGTGTAGTTTGGAGCGAGATTTCAGTAGACCTGGGACAGTATTTTGCGCACTAGAATCGTTGGCTATGGTGACACTTGAAGAGGACGACAAAAGGAGAAATTTAGAGTTGAAGTTGAGGTCGGAGTAATAATAGGAATCGAAGAGGGAAATCGATTATGAATACAGTGGTCTTGAATGCTGTTAGAAGTATGAGGGCGGTTATCATTTCCTGGTTGCCTGTCCACACTGTGGAAGGTTTCTTCTGGAGGTACCTGAAAATGAAATTGGACTAAAGGTGGTCATAGAGACCTGAGAGCGTGACCGCAGTGCGCAAGGGACAACTGCTTGAGGTCGGTCACACGACTGTTTGTGGGTAATTCTATGTTAGGTCCGTACTTGTTAAGACGTTACCGCCGGAGACGGATATCCGTGCGATAAGGGAGGTGTGCATTTTTAGGGTCGACCTTTTCTAACCCCACCCCTCCTTGTGGGAAGGCAGCATCGCTGTCATGCTGGTTGTCTGAAGGAAACACCTTACTGCCTTCACACCTCTGTACAGTCAGCAGTACGACTTCGCACTCAGACCTTGGGTTTGTTGTTCTTAGTCTTACCGCTCTTCAACCGACCTGTCTGACACGGTAGGACTTTGAGGAACGATTGTTCCAGCCAGTATAGCTCGGTCGCTTCATCACGATAGGCAAGCCCAACCAACACGTCAAGGTAGCAGCAACGGTCGGGTTATAGGTGTATAGTGAATAATAGTCATATATATAAATATTTGAACACATAAATATTAGTACGAGGGGACACCAAATACATATGCGCCACACAGTGAATAATAGTCGCCAGATGATCGACACTTACTCAGAATTATGTATTACGGAACTTACGGTTTAGACCATAAATCAAAGAAAACCTGATGACTTCTTTTAATGTATGATCATTGGCTACAATAATGGAGCTCAACTACCGAACAAAGGCTTCGCTATTCGCCTTTAGCTCCAGTTTTTGAGGTAGTAATTTCACAAGACTATTTAGACCAAATAAGAAAAGAGGTTTAAACTCAAGACATATGGATTGAATCCCAAGTGATTTGGGTCGACGATAAGTTCTGACGATTATATTTACTGGTCTATAGAATATATATTACTAGTATCAGTACTAATGAAATTTAAGGCAAAAACAATTGAAAATGAGTAGCAACAGCTGTCATTAAAATAAACTTGTAATTTTTACACCAATTTAGAAATTTACAAATACAACACACCGTTAACATCTCTCGATTTTGTCGCACATTGTAAGAATTTACTGGATATTTATCAATTTGTAACCCAGAAAATTTTCAAAAGCATAAGTATCATTAAATATATTTGAATCTAAATCACAAGAATTAGACTAAAACAAAAACAATTCAAGTGACAAGATAATATGGAGTCGTCATATTGAGCGATTTCTCATCAGCTGTTTACAACTTAAACATAATGGTGTTCACATTATTGAGAATACGATTACATACTTCATCATACAATATAAGCTCTTATCAGAGATTAATGAAAAATGCAATAAGTATGGAAAAATTACAAGATATATTTATTCGCTAGATAACATGAATATTCATAGGTTGATTAGAAGAATATCTCAGAATGAAAACTAAGAGCATAGTAACAGAACTATTCAAAGGTGAGATATTATTGCAATAGTTATGTAACCCTTGAGACAAAATTGACTGATCACAGATCAGATAAAGATGGAGATTAATGATCAGTGCCATGCGAAATGAGTAACAAACATTTATGATTAAAGGTACCACGACAAAACAAGGTTGATAACTGGATGAATATGTTTGTTTTAAATCTTTTCACGGAAATCGCTACATCAAGCCACAGTAAATTCAACGTCCTTTTTTTACTAAGTATCTTAGACGACTCTGAGACATAAACATCATGGTCATTGACAAACAGATGATGTTCAGTCACAATGCTAAAAAAGTGTTCCCCTAGTTTAAACTTTTGTGAAATGTGCTTAGAGATGCGGATACTAATCCTCATTTTCTGTTTTTCCGATGTATGTACTTTTGGGCGTAGATATAAACTGGTAGATACAATTGGAAGTAGTATAGGGAGAATTGTTCACAAACAACCGTCTTAATTCGTTTGATACATGGAGATCGGGTTGGTAATTGGATATATCATTTTATTACGTCTTTTAATCTAGAACCAATCTTCCTAGTTATTTCATCATCCTTGAAGCCAGGTTTCTCAACCGTAGCGTACTGCATTCCCCTCGCTTTAGTCTTCTCATACTTAGTTAGGAATTGTTGAGAATAATCATTACCATGTAATCAAAGTTCAAGTATGGTTAATTAACCAGTGTTATCTTCTAAAGAGTAATACAAATGGTCGATTGGGAAGATATACTTATCGTAAGGACACATGAGGCGGTCTATACTTAGACTTCAATAATCTACAAAATAGCTTTCTTCAGAATACTTTTCAATCGTGTCAGAAGAATATATCCTAATTTATAAATGGGATAACTTGTATGAAATCGTAAGAATAATTTTGTTAGTCAAGATCAACATAAGGGCTGGCACGTGCATTAGCTCAATTTACCCACCGCGTCAAAAAGACGAGATGAAATGAATAAAATGAGTAGTAAAGGGATCAAAACAATGTGATAGCAATGAGAAAGACCGGAAATAAAGGATATGGTTCAATAAGATTGAACAGAAATTTATGTGCAAGGGGATACCGGAAGTCAAAATCTAAATGAACATTGAGTGCACCTGAGTCCCTGTGACCAATTATGAGTCGTGTTGCACGTCTCTAACGATTGACCAAGGTCATCGCGCAGACCATATAACTAAATAGCTTGATATCACCATGACTTGGGTCAACAAGTTATGATTTCGTGAACTGACACGATGTCTTGGTTTAAATATGTTTGAAGGGATTACGAGATCACCTAAAATCGGTGGACGGAACGAAGGATCAGCGACAAGACAAGCTAAACTATTCCGATGCATCCCAGCCCTGATAACCAGAAGAAGACTCGGCTCAGATGATGAAAAGGTATATTCCACAAGCACCGAGAATCTCAAACAAGAACAAGCACACAACTCAAACGTATATATACAGCATAAAATGTCCTTAGGAAACGTCACAAAATAGCATATTAAAAGAGGGGATGAATCAACAACATTTAGGGTCTTTTCAAGTGGGAAATACAATCTGAAGGTAGAAATGAGCGCTTTTGGAGAGAAACAAGAAATTCAAGTTTCCAAAATTACAAAAATACGACGTTGATCAAGCGATTTCTGGGGATGCTAGATCCCCAGAAAATTTGACAACTAGCTTTTTGATTCATTCACACTTACTTCAGCTATCACTGCATATCGAGGTAGATGGCGATTCGACAAACGTGACACATCCCAACCACTCCAGGTGATGGATATTCACAAACTTAACCGATGAACCATCTTTGCTTAGCACCTTGTGCCTGATTTCAATATGAACTACTGATACTACTTCAATTTGATTGGCTATTCTTAACAGTCATCATTAACAACAAAATAAATAATAGTCAAAAGTAAATATAATGAATAGATAATTTTATTAAAAAACTGGCTTATAATTTAGAATCAATAATCGACATTATACATGAATGCGTTTCATCCACAGTTTGACCTGTTGCCGGTATCCAATGCCAGAGTCGGGGTTCACGCTCATTTGTGTCATCATTCTCACTTAACTCAGACTCCATTTCACGTGATAAACGACCGTAATAAATAAGAATTCGTTTTTGAAAATCCATTGTTTCAAACTTTTTGTCACTAAATGCGTCACGAACTGAAATTTCAGCAAAATTTTCTGGAGCAAGGCAAAATATGAAATCTGGTTGCAGTAACCCATACTCCATAGAACGGCACCATTTCCAATCAAATTCAGAGAGTGGATGAAATTTAGCGGCTGTGTTAGCAATACCAGAATAACTGTAACGATCTACGACAACGCTAATACCAGCTTTTAATGCATTCGAAATTTCATCTTGACGTTCCCATCTACATTGAAAGCAAAAATGTTTTTTAAAATGAGGTAGATAGTTCGGTCCAAGATTTATTAACAATGAACCTAACCAAACATATTAACTACTATTTCATAGACTTCCCTACACACAAACCGTAAGTCAAAAAAATTATTTACCGAAAATATGCCCCTGAGTACTTGAACAAACAAAAACATAAGTCAGTATAGCGGTTGTGGAGATTATTATTATTATCAGTTCATGATCTCAATCAAAATTAAAAACATAAAGCTTAAGCTATTATATACACAGGATAGATTTTATAACGAATAGCACTGTGTACCTTGCCTATACTCTCGAGTACCGGATTAAACTGCATCGGTTACTCCACTAGATACGCCAGTCATGTATAGTTATTGTTTATTTATTTGAACAAATAAATATTTGTACAAAAGGGGCACGAAATACACAATAAAAATGAGTCTGAGAACAGATAGAGAATGTAAATTGCACATGAGATAAAGGAGAACAACAACGGACAGGAATTACTGGATGAAAATGAAATAATAATAATAATAATGGGAGAAACAGTTCAGCAGTTTAAAAATCCCCATAGAATATTCAAAAATGAAAAATATTTGAGCGAACAATTGTTTTCAATAACTTCATCATCATCATCAGGCTCTACAGTTCAGAATTATGGTGATCTTTTACAAAGGCCAAAATAAGGCATGGCATTAATGAATTTGACAATGTTATATGTTAAAAATGGTGAACGTGTGAATCTGTTACGACATAGATACAATTCAAAATTGTGTTATTCACAAATTAGACCAGCCATTTAATAAAGGTCAAAATGATTTGGAGTAAAGTGTCAAGTCACAATCAGTACAACAATAGTAATATGGCAAAGAATGAAAATGCAAAAACTCGCGTGAATAAAATGCATAGTAGGAGAATTTCATCTTGTTAATCGAGATAATAATAATAATATTGTTGTGCGAATATAGTATTTAATAAGAGGGGTGTTACAATGGTAATTACGATAAAAAAACGAGAAGGGGGTAAGAGGTTTACAATATTCAGTTTAGGTATCCGGTAATCCAGTCGTAGGCCAGGGTAAACATAGAGGCTGGATATATAAGTTCGGTTTTCTGGAATTGATCTAGATGGCTTCGGCTATGTAGAGTAGCCGTAATCTAGCTCCTTGAGGTAGGTTTTTTTGGAACTTGATAATAAAACAGAGAAAGCTTCCTCTATTTTGATATAATGTTCACTATCTACCAAGTGTGAAAATGATGAGTGGGTGAGGATGATAATGATTGGTTGTCTGCTTAGTCGAACATGTAAATAGTCTGATAGGTAGTGTCAGATGAGTTATATATTCCCTTATCCTTATTATTGTTTTTTTTTATTGATTGTTCATCGTTGTTGGATTGCGTCGAGTTTTTGGTGTGGAAATATATTTACGTTGAATATCCACACTAGATTCCCTCCAAGTGTATATTCTACAGGACTTCAACACAGCTCATATCAAGAACACGTGATTAGCCTGACAAGATGAAATTCTCCTACTATGCATTTTATTCACGCGAGTTTTTGCATTTTCATTCTTTGCCATATTACTATTGTTGTACTGATTGTGACTTGACACTTTACTCCAAATCATTTTGACCTTTATTAAATGGCTGGTCTAATTTGTGAATAACACAATTTTGAATTGTATCTATGTCGTAACAGATTCACACGTTCACCATTTTTAACATATAACATTGTCAAATTCATTAATAATAAATTTAAATAAATCAAGAACCATAAACATGGTAGAATAACCTGAATTCATTATATTTCGTGGTTTACATCAGCTGCATACAACCAAAAATTAATTCTTCCTTTTATTTGAACTACACCCATATTCATCTCAATCAATTCATTTATTGTTGTTGTTATTATTATTATGTAACTATAAATATCAATCATCTAGAATTTCCATACTATTTATCGTGTAAATATTCTACCATTTGAACACATTTTATAATTCCTATTGATGAGAACATTTCTGATATTATGATACAAAGTATACACACCGACATTTTAATGATTAATACTATTATTATTAGAATGAGAGTTGTGTAATGTAGTAATTTAATGGCTGAATTCATGAGTCGATTTAAGCTAGACCACGGTCGTGCAATATAGTGGATTGGTTGAGGCTAAAAATTAACACCGTTAAATGCTGTCTCAGTGGTCTAGTCTAAGCATTCGCGCGCAAGACCGAATGTCTTGAGTTCGAGTTCTGCGTGCGGGATCGTAGATGCGCACTACTGAGTAGTCTCATACTAGGACGAAACTACAGCCCAGTGCTTCCAGGTTTCCCATGGTGGTCTAGCTTAATACTCCCGACCGTTGTTGCTACCTTGACGTGTTGGTTGGGCTTGCCTATCGTGATGAAGCAACCGAGCTATACTGGCTGGAACAATCGTTCCTCAAAGTCCTACCGTGTCAGACAGGTCGGTTGAAGAGTGGTAAGACTAAAAACAGTAGACCCAAGGTCTGAGTACGAAGTCGTACTGCTGACTGTACAGAGGTGTGAAGGCAGTAAGGTGTTCCTTTCAGACAACCAGCATGACAGCGATGCTGCCTTCCCAAAGGTCGAACCTAAAAATGCACACCTCGCCTTATCCCACAGATATCCGTCTCCGGTGGTAACGTCTCAACAAGTACGGACCTAACATAGAATTACCCACAAACAGTCGTGTGACCGACCTCAAGCAGTTGTCCCTTGCGCACTGCGGTCACGCTCTCAGGTCTCTATGACCACCTTTAGTCCAATTTCATTTTCAGGTACCTCCAGAAGAAACCTTTCACGGTGTGCACAGGCAACCAGGAAATGATAACCGCCCTCATACTTCTAACAGCATTCAAGACCACTGTATTCATAATCGATTTCCCTCTTCGATTCCTATTATTACTCCGACCTCGACTTCAACTCTAAATTTCTCCTTTTGTCGTCCTCTTCAAGTGTCACCATAGCCAACGATTCTAGTGCGCAAAATACTGTCCCAGGTCTACTGAAATCTCGCTCCAAACTACACATCGGAGCCTTCAGCATACGCACCCTGTGTCGAATCGCCCAACAGACCTCCTTGGCTAAAACCATATAATTTCGTCCCATTGATGTATGCTGTATCTCCGAAACACGCATAAAGGATCCCAGTGTTGTCATTAATTTGACCTCACCTAGTCAAAATGGAGAACCGACGAGATACACCCTCCGTGTATCTGGCGACGCGATGGATAGTTCTCGTGGACTGGCAGGTGTAGGCATAGTGCTAAGTACAAGGGCGTAACAAGCATTATTAGAGTGACCGCCGTTAACAGTCATTTATGTGCTGTCCGGCTAAACGGCTCCGTAAAAACTCGGAAGGATAGGGACACGTGTCATCGCCTTTTTTCGTCATTTCTGCCTACTCTTCCATCCACTGACTGCAGCCCGGATGAAGTGAAAGATGACTTTTACAAAAGCTTTTTGAACTTCTTCATAAAGCTAAACGTTCAGACATAGTACTCGCAGCAGGTGACTTTAATGCCCGCGTAGGTAGCTTAAACCAAAAAGAAAGACATTTAGGTGAGTATTTTAGTATCTCAACCAAGCGAACCCCTAATGGTGATCGTCTGTTGCAGCTGTGCTCCGACAAGCGTTTATTTTTAGCAAACACTAATTTTAAGCACCAAACCAACGATGGACTCGAATAGGCCATATTGCTATCAGTCGTTGTTGGAGAGGATCGATTGATTGTCGCTTGTCCTGAAATACCCGCTTGGACTCCAACCATGCTCTAATGAGGACACGCATCTGCTTGCGCCTCACTGGACTCAGGAAAGCCACATTACGAAGTCCTATTAGAATTGAATTGAGTGACGAGAAAGCCGAAAGTAGGTTCTAGAAACAACTGAGGTCACACTTAGGTAGTTCTGAAAACGAGGATGACCCAGATATTGCTTGGAAAGAGATAAAAACAGCAGCGACTTAGAACACGCAGATGACATATTCCTCTTTGGTCAAGACGCTGACAAAATGCAGAGTCTTTTGGTAGCACTAAGCAACAATGCCAGAATGTTTGGAATGCGCTTCTCCACCTCTAAATGCAAGTTGTTGCTTCAGGACCGGTCTGCGTCAACACCTGAACTAAGGTACATTGATTTATTTATTTGAACACATAAACATTGGTACAAGAGATCGCCAATAGATATGCGACACACAAAACAATGAGAATTCTAAGAGACCAACGAGTACCCATCGGCCACCTAAACGACTCTCTTCTGTGCCTAGACGCCCGACCTGAGCATTCAAGTATCCGGCTAGTACCACAATGTCTGTCGAACGCACTTTCCGGAGAAGAACAGATAAGTGGTGGTAAAACTCATCCTTGATTGCATCCGGGCTGCAATCTGTCGAGGCATAGGCGGAGATGACGAAAAGACATCGTTTCTCACGCCGATTTCTTCTCACTTTGATGGAACTTTCTAATCTAATCTAACAGCACATAACCGACTGTTAATGGAGATCCAATCGATTAGTGCTGCCTCAGCTCTAGCGCTTAGTGCGACACCAACGCCAGCAAGACTAGACGAAGATGCCACAGGGTCTCCGAATAAGCGCACGTAAAACAAGCTTTTCGAAGCGACAGATGGAGATCGAATCTGTAGTACTTCGCCAGAGTCTTGAATACGGGTCTCGGATAGACAACAAGCGTCATTATTAAGACTTTCCAAAGACATAGCCAGCCCTATCTGTTGTCCGACCCGCATAAATGTGCGAACGTTGAAGGCAGCCAGTTTGAATGGTGCACGTGGTTTCAGAAAAACTGCTTCAGTTCTCGTATTCGGTGGTAACATACAATTTTCAAGCGGAGAGTGACTCGAGAACGTTTAGATACAGTCGAATTTCCACCAAAGACGAGCCGCTGTATAAGTATAAAAGAGGGTGAATAATGCGGTAAATAATAATAATAATAGTAGTATTAGTAATAATCATTTGAATCATTTGACTGTTATTCGAAGCGCGTAAAGTAGTTTCTACAGATATAGAAAGTTCATTATTTGCGTGTGGGTTGCGATACTGCCCGGGTGCCCAGACCGAAGCAGGTGGTTATTTTAGGGGGCCACACCCCGAGCCTTTGACCTAAAGGTCTAACCCACAAGGCAGTGGAGCATCGTAAGGAGATGCATTCCCATGGTAGCCGGTGATCAACGACTGGTTCACACGCCGTTTGTTCCCGCAGGATACTGGAGCCCATGTGCACCATTGGTTTGGGGTCCGGTTAAAGCGCCCGACATTCGCTGTTCGTCCTCTCATTTTCGTAAACAACACCCCCGCCACGAGAAGGCAATGAGCGGACTCCCCATACTCTCGGCCGTACCAGGGAGTGAAGTAGTCGAACGTGTTGACAACTTCACTTATCTAGGAAGTCTGATCAGCCCTAATGGGCTGGTGTCTGACGAAATCTCAGCACGGATTCGAAAAGCTCGATTGGCTTTTGCCAACTTACGTCACCTTTGGCGAAGGCGAGATATCCGTCTATCAATAAAAGGACGAGTATACTGCGCGGCAGTCCGTTCTGTTTTACTTTACGGCAGCGAAACATAACCATTAAGAGTAGAAGACACTCGTAAGCTACTAGTATTTGACCACAGATGCCTTAGGAATATTGCTGGCGTCTGTTGGGATCACCGGGTAAGAAATAGTGAGGTTAGACGCAGGGTATTAGGGAATGATGGTAAATCAGTTGATGAGGTTCTGAATCTTCATCGACTGAGATGGTTGGGCCACGTGTTACGTATGCCTGAGCACCGATTACTACGTCGTGCAATGCTAACCGGTGTTCGGGATGGTTGGAAGAGAATTAGGGGCGGCCAAACCAAAACGTGGCATCAGTGCTTGAAGTCACTAACCTCTAGTCTGAGCCATGTTGGTAGATGCAGACTACTCAGTTAGGGTCCGCGTGACTATCGTAATCGATGGTTGGAGACTCTTGGTGACATGGCTCAGAATCGATCACAATGGCATCGGTGCATACACTCTCTATCTTCCCTTAAACTAAGAGATTAAAATTGCTTCATATCTTTCTTTCTATGAACTAATTCTCCCTTCCTGTACTGTATCCTTATATGTAATCTTTCTTTTATATATTACCACCTCTGAATTCACTACTTTTATGAATCCGGTGTTTATCTTGTTGTGTTAATGAGGTATGGCAACTTGGACCGATGCATATATGTGCCTGGTCCTACGTTGTAGCTGACTGACTGACTGACTAGCTTAATACGATTATGTTTAAGTTGTATGGAGCTGAGGAGAAACCATGAAATAAAATCAATTCGGGTTATTCTGCTACGTTCGCTTCACTGTCTATTAGACTGACATCAAAATCGATAAAAAGTTGATGATTCCCTGGTAATTAAATGGAATGTACTAATAAGCAAGTTAATGTATAAACCGTGAAACATACTTATAACAATTGAAGTCGCTATTAAAGATGTAACGAACTATTCGATACTTCAAGGTTAAGAGTTTATCAATGTAAATTTGCTTTATTGATACTACATGAAAGCTATAAAACTGGTAATTTGACCTAAGTAACTCAATAACATGTAAAATGTTTTAAGTATTAACGGGTAATGAAGAATCACCTACCTGTTAGCTATATAAAGAAGATGAGCTGCATGTGGTTCCAGTTGGAGTTTTTCATCAGAGTATTCAGCCAGTAGTTTCCCTATTGGTGTACTTTTGTCAGGAAAATGAATCAACAAGGCTTGTTTGCCGGTAATTTGAGTTAAAGCTTCCTGTAATAGTTCTGATTGTGTCTTTTTGCCACATTTTTCAACACCTTCGAAAACGACAAATAAACCACGTTTCGTAGTGTCAGGCATTTAAAATCCGTAGTGTTATGTATATATAATACCGACACTAATATATCTAAGAAAGGAGAGTAGAAATGTCTAGTCAAATTGTGTAAAGTAAGAATGAACGGGATGAAAATACGGTTAATGAAAGAAGAGCTTAATGTTAAAACCTCATGATTTATAAAAATTCACATTATGAATAATAAACATGACCTCTAACAGCTGTTGGGATGGTCTAAATATTAATCCACGGGATATCAAATAAGTTATACAAGATTCTGATATGTTAACTTGGACTGGTACATATGTCACAGGTTCTAAGTTATGTACGACTGGCTATCCACATTATACATTAAGGTCCCTGTGTTTCAGTCAGTTTGATGATTTAATAAGTATTCTAGTCGATAGTGATGGATAGACCTGGTAAATATTAATTCAGGTAAGATCTCATTTTCAAATCATAATCCACAGCAAAAAATGTTAGCCTTGGACGCATACTTACCTGGGACTCACGAACTTGCTGGACAATAAACCAGGGGAATCAGTTTGACTAATTTAGGGTCGAAAATATTAGCCCTTAATTATTTGACACCATAATGAACCCTCGTCTTATCCAATAGTTGTGAAACATTTGAAGCAGGCGTTTCTTATCTAGGTTCCATATTTTAAGTATATAAGGGGATGATGGAGAAGTAAGCAAATCTTTGGGAAAAACGAGACCAGAATGCTATGTTTGAAGCGATTACGAGTTCATCTAATCTGAGAACAGAACGAAGACTCTGTGACACAATGACAGATAAGCTAGCTATTCCAACACGTCCCAGCCCCGCTAACTAGAGAGAAGTCCAAGTTCGGAAGTGGAAATATATTCCACAAACAGCCAGAATTACGAACAACCACGACAAATCTAGTCGGAAATACACCCGTTTATATATTGATTCATAAACCCATTCTTGATTAATAATTAGAATAATATCACATATATGAAAAATACTTACAATTATAACAAATCATATGCTGAGTATAGTTCATGTTACCTTAATACAAGGATATCGTATGTTATACAGAGAAAAACGTCATAGGGGAAAACAAAACAAATACCATACTGAGTACTCATCACATCGAATCAAAACGGGAGTAATGTTGAGTAAAATCATAATCAGTAAATCAATCTAGTTTTGACTTTTCATCCCGTCATATCACAGAGATCCGAGTTCCCAATGGTCTGAAGTTTTCTTCCGATGTTTCCACCTGTGGGAAAATCTCCAGCATTTATATGAACTCTTCTATCCTACAAAATCTTGTCTCTTCGCAAACTTTAAGCACTTAGAGAACTAGTTATTTATTAATTACCCCAACTTTTACTTAAAACATGCCCTTCTACGCAATACCACTAAATTAACTGGTATTCTTAATGTATACATGTATGTATTTGGATTTCTAACGTATACTAATAGTCCCCAAATGCCCTGGTACGGCTGAGGGTGGAGAGAGTTCGCTCTTCCTCTCAAAATAGACACGCGTATACAGCCACTTTCAGAGAAGTCCTACTTACTGTCCTCTTGAGGTGGGGGTGTTGTCTACGAAATTGAGAGGACGAAAAGCGAATGTCCGTTGCTCTAACCGGGTTGATGAATACGGAGGGTCCATTTAAAGGAGTTAGAAAACCCTGGTTCCAAACCAATGATGCACATGGGCTACGGGATCCTGAGGGGACAAATGGTGTATGAACCTATTGTTGACCACCGACTATCATGGGACTGCATTTCTCAACGTTGATCCATTGTTTTGTGGAACCCGGGCAGTAGCATAGTCCACACACAAATCAAGTGACTTTTGTGGCACATATGTATTCAGTGCCCCTTTGTACCAATGTGTTTAAATAAATAAATGATTCTTACGTAATACTGCGAGATCATAATCCTGCCTTTATGTACGTCACCACTGGAAAAAGTTGTCAGTTAAATAGGCTTACACACGGGCGCCTTTATATTACGGCAGCCTATTCCACAAGATGGATTTATCAACGATTTTACTGACGTTTCAAATGTTTCAATTTTATAACGTAATTGTATTTTTTTAAGCAACAATCAGGATATTATGTTATAATCGACTCAGATTAGAGGGGTGTTTGTACTACCCACAAACTGGTTTCTCAATCAGTACTTGTACGTACACAAGTAGGATGCGACATTAAAAAATATCATGGATCAGATTGATCTCGAAGCTGAGTGTTCTTCGCAGAAATACAAAGTTTTGCATTAGTGTGGTTAGTTGTGATGACATTATACACCCTTCTTACAGATGAGTTCGTTAGTCATCTACTTGAAATCTACATTTACAGGAGACCTCGGTTACGATGCTACGAGTACTATTAAGGATGGGACGCTACTGTGCCAATCAAAATCTAGTGGTTTAGGCGTTCGACTTCAAGCCATCCAATACCAGTTTCGAACCACGCTCCACCTTCAGATTGTGCAACCGGATAGTATCACTAGCCCTCACAATTTAGTCAGTGCTCAAGTACCTGATGAATAAGTTAGTGTAAAGATTCGTTAAAAAGGCCTGAGGTAAGCAATCATATCCAATATATAAGGGTTGTCAGAGCAACAAAAGCTGTTTATACATCAGAATTTGAGGCTGGATGCGTTCCACTTAATTTTCCTAATGTTAACATTTTGGTAGACCACCTGTCACTGATCTAAATTTAAGTAATAGTTAAATGCATTTCTAGAAATTCGTTTATTTAAAACTAATATTTTGACATTACTGATGCTACGTACGTCATGGGGTACCGTAGCCGAGTAGGCTGAATTGGTACTTATTTTTATGCTTGTGGATCCCAGGCTTTCAATTGGAATGTTGACAAAACGTTAGGGAGTGATCTGTCAGATGAGATAATCAACCAAAATTAGACGAAAAAGTAAATGTTGCATGGATTTTTGATCTTCGAAATTTTCACTTCAGACACTGAAGAACTAAGATAGAGGCTACATTAGATCAAAAATTCCGTGATTGAGCAATGTTGAACAAACTTGCAACTGCTCATGGTCATTATGAAACGAAAAGCAAGTTGGTTATCAGTAATCCGGGACGATCTATAGTATTTATTCTATTTATTTATTTAAAACTGGTTTAAACGGGCACCAAAATATATATGCGCCATACCAAGTAGTTATCATTCAATTTGTATGTGGGATGGGATAATGCTAGGCTGCCCGAACCGAAAAAAAGTAGTTTTATTAGTAGGCCACTCCTCGAGCTTCTAACCTAGAGAATGAATTTACAAGCCATCACAGAAACGTTAGGAAATGCCGTCCCACAGTAAACAGTGTCCAAAATACGGAAAGCGGACTCTACACATCCTCGGCTGTACTAGACCATTTTTGGCTAGTTTAGTACTCCATATTTCAGAGCTTCCTTATGTGGGAAAGATTTCAGACAAGTCATAGATTCTGAAAGTCAGGGTTCCTTGTACGATGTAAGAGATATTGATGGATGAATATTGAAAGATAATGTAAGAATCAGTAAGAATGGTTTATTGGATATATATTCATACGTCAATATTTGTAGCTTGTAGGTTTATTCAAAATTTAAAAATTAATGTGTACTACCACGTTTTAGCTGGCTTCTTAAGCACTAACAGACGTCAGTGTGCTATTGCTACCATACATATCTATTTACAATCTTTCAGTTTGCATCGTTTTCATAGGTCTATATACAATTTTGCGACACGTATTTTGCCAACCAATTCCGTGGCTGTTTTATAATATTCACTAATATTTTCACCAATCTCTTTAACTGGTGAATTCTTTAAAGGCTTGCCATCAAAGTAATACATCTAATACCTTGCTCAATTTCGTGTTCTAATTATGTATGCTAGTATCCATATCAGTGACTAAACTGGTTTGATTAACATTTCTTATCGTGTACCTCCAATCATCTTATTTGTGTACATTTTCTTTGGATAAGTTGTAATATATTCTTTCTGAATATTGTATATCAGTGACAATACATATTCAAATAAATCGACCCTCAGCTTGTTGATTTAATCTAGTTCCTGTGCCATCTGCCATTTAACAGAAATCATGTCTGTGACAAACATCGCTAGTCAGATACTATCTTATATTTCTTTTCCCAAAAAGCGACGATCAACCACTGTGGAAAATATGAACACCTAGCGTTGTTCCACTGCCTTGTGGATTAGACCTCTAGGTCAAAGGCTCGGAGTGTCTCCCTAAGAGAACCACCTGCTTCGGTTCGGGCACCCGGGCAGTATCACAACCCAAACACAAATCGAATGACAAGGTAAGATGCATATATATGCGATGCCTCCCTGTACCAACGTTCTTATGTTTAAATAAATAAATAAATTTATTGGTAAACCAATGACATCACTAACATCTATCTTTGCAGAATACTGTAAACCTAAGTTTGAATCAGCTTTAGGGAATCACCTCACTTCTTTAAACCACAATATGGAGAAATGAGACGACTTATGTAAAATGTATATTTGTTTTCTTTTAGACATATATTGCCCTGAATATTATGTCAGCCTTTTAACTATGGTCGGACAAAAATATGACGTTATGTTTGTGAGTGTTGATTGACAAGGACTACGTCTACAAGGTGAATGAACTTCAGTTATCGGTCCTTATGTGAAAATAAAATATCATCTAAGCAGAAAGTTTACTTGGTTGGATCTATGTAGTCAACTATGCACGGTGCTATGATGTAGATAGTTATGCAGGCAGCTTGGGGGGAAACTACTAGACTGAATTTGGAAGACCGAAAATGTACAAGTCAATATTCCAATTTGAATTTTGGAGGATAAAATTTCGATGTTTTGTTTCGACTGATATTTCGAGGCTTTGCATGAAGTTGCTAGAAGTTTCGGGAGGCTTATGCACTAATTTGCTGAATCTTCTCAGTGTCTACGTACACTTTGTGCAAACGGAGATTTCCTCAGAGTTAGCGTAAGTTTTGCAGAACTCCCAATCTCCCAAGTTTGGGTAAACCCCCAAAGTCAAATGACCTTTACCAAGGTTTAGAGGAAATTCTGAGGTTTTGGTGCCAGTTCCCCAAAATGGGTCGAATTTTCACCAAAATTGGAAGATTGATCTAAATTAGTGGGAATTTTCGATTTTTGGACGCCCTTAGCAGAAAATCCTAATATGACTTCAAAAGCAATTCCATACGACTGGTTACGTCTATCGGAAGTTGAGAGAATTAGTGTGCTATGTTGAAATAGCGAACAGATGTCCCCTCAACTAAGCAAACAAAAAAGGGGAAATGAAAGCTTTGGACAGGTTTCAAAATTCCTCAGAAAAACCCAGAGCGGATATAAGCGACCGCGCATCTAGCACGTGGTAAAAGGTGAGAATTTTACCCGAAACTTCCGCATTGAGGGAAAATGCCTCGAATCTTAGCAGAGAATGATGCCGAAAAAGCTGAAGCTTTATCGGAATATTTTAGTAAAGTGTTTTCTATCGGTAATGAGGAACGACCAATGATTCATTGTGACCGTGACGGCTCGCTGATGGATCCTGTAGTCATTGAGAAAGATACTGTTTTAAGGCTACTTCAGCATCTCAAACCTGATAAGTCCAGTGGTCCCGATGATATTCATCCTAGGATTATGAAAGCCATATCAGATGAAATTGCTGAACCATTAGCGATACTATTCGACATGTCTCTGAGACAGTCCAGACTTCCTAGAGACTGAAAAGACGCCATAATAAGTCCGGTGTATAAGGCTGGGAGTAGGGATTTAGTTAGTAACTATAGACCTGTTAGCTTAACTAGTGCAGTTGTCAAACTGATGGAGAAAATCATTCGGATAGCTGTTATAAACTATGTTGAAGGGCAAAATCTTTTCTCCAGGGCACAACATGGTTTTCGGAAAGGCCTATCTTGCTTGACAAATCTTCTCATTGCACGAGAAGAGTGGGCTGCGGCAAAGGATCGGAATGCTCCTGTGGATGTAATTTTCATAGATCTAAGTAAAGCCTTTGATAAGGTTTCACACTCTGGTCTTAAATTCAAACCGAAACGTTTTGGAATCCATAACACAGTCGTCGATTGGATAAGTAACTTTCTCCATGACAGGAGACAAAGGGTAAGGGTTAATGGGGCTCTCTCCTCGTGGGTACCTGTAAAAAGTGGGGTTCCCCAAGGCACAATCCTAGGTCCTCTTCTCTTTTTACTTTATGTAAATGAATTGCCAACTGTAGCAAAATCATCCGTTCTACTCTTCGCTGATGACATAAAGATTTGGAGACCCATACATAGTATGTCGGATAGAATAGTATTACAGGACGATCTTAGCTCATCGGTGGCATGGTTAGACAGGTGGTCACTAGAAGTAAATCCTAATAAGAGTGTAGTGATGCAGTTAAATAACTCTGATGAATCGTATGACTATACACTACGTGGATTCGTGCTACCCAATGCAAGAAACTATAAAGACTTAGGAGTTATATTAAGCAATGATCTCAAAACGACTAGTCACTGTAAGGCTGCTGCTGCAAAAGGCTATAGGGTATTATGGTCAATTCGTAGGTCTTTTCAGTATTTAGATGATGAAATGTTTGGATTACTTTACCCGATTTATGTGCGACCACATTTAGAATACGGGATTCAAGCAGCGAGTCCTTGTTTCAAATATGAAGCAGATATGCTAGAAAGAGTCCAACGACGAGCTACTAAGATGGTACAAGGTCTAGCTGGCCTATCTTATGAAGACAGACTGAGACACCTTAACTTATTTCCGTTATCTTACCGTAGAGTACGGGGTGATCTAATATTGGCTTATCGTATACTGAACGATGACCTTGGTATTAACATGTCTTATCTTTTGCTTCCGTCTAGAACCGATCATTTGAGAGGACATTCGAAGAAAGTTCAAAAACCGAGATCAAACCGTTTACGTCTGGAGTTCCGTTTCTCGCACCGAGTAGTGAATTACTGGAATTCCCTACCGGAACACGTAATATCAGCACCGTCTGTTAATATATTCAAAACGAGATTGGACCTCCACAGTATTACAAACTGCAAGGATTAATATAGGTCGACAGACCTCCTATCTTTATTACTGAAGACTGAGACTAACATTATGTGAAACGGGAACCTCCCTCAAAATTAACACCAAACTGCCTACTTTTCTCTCAAATTGAGAAACCTGGCGACAAATTTTAAACTTGCTACAACTGGTACATGGCCAGAGCTTAGAAAAATAGCAATTCTAACCGACCACGTGATATACACACAACACACAGGATGCAATCACTAGCGAACTCACCCGGCAGAAGAACGACCTTCTGAGTTCCCAATCTGGTACAGCGCAGTAAAACAATGTCGAATTCAGATGTGCGCATTAAGGAGAGAAACCAGACGGTCTGCATTGTCCCTTTTCTGGTTTTATTCCGTGAGATTCTAACCTTTCAAAATAATTTCTAAGTATTCTGTAAATCGCAATTCAGTCACCTCTTAATCATCGGTAAAACAGAGTAAAGTGGTCTAGCTTCTCGAATCTCCTTGTGAACGGTAAACCTATCGATTCTGGAATTGCACGGGTAACTATTCCCTCCACATTTTTCAACACATCCGAGTTGCCCTTCTTACCTGCAGTCCGAAGTCCGTTTTCGAGTTTTGATAGCATTGACGCTATGTATACTACAGTCTTCAAACCCATGGCATTCTGAACCACTTGACTTGAACTGAATGGGAACGGAGTACAGCCATTAGATCCTGGTTCCTTATTGTCCCTGGATCATCATGAAACAGAACTATTAGCACTATTTCTTCACTAATTGTGATGCCCTTTAATTTCATATCTCCAGTATGACTGTAGGCACACTAGGTAGTGTCCATAGGGTTCGGCGACGTCCGAAACCAGCTAACCAGAACGTCTTGGTGTATATGCATCTGTGTTCCCCCATTATTTCTCGTTAAATGTTGGCGTCACCAGAATAAGGTAATTTTGGGGACTCGATGATACTCGAGAGTTAATCTACAAATAACATAAAAGTAAATGATCCATAATATAGCCTTGTGATAATTCGCTAACTTCTGGTCTCCATAGTAAAAATTTGGAATGTGTTCCTAATATCTATTTACGATTTACCAATAGGTCGTTGACCTACTTTAGAAAAGGTCTGGCAATCCCCAGACTTTCCAGCTTCATAAAGAAACAGCCGTGCGACATTTCATCAAATACTGATTAACGAATGTTCTTTTGTGATTATTCTTACCAGTGCTTCGACTACGACATTGGCGAGGCTGATAGGTCTGTAGTTCTATGTAAATAGTCCTGTCTTGCGAAATATGGTTACAATTGCATCTTTTCAGTCGTAGGTAACTTACCTTGTTTAGTGACGTCTTGAATATCGTAGTGTGGGGTTAACAGTGTATGTTGAAATATGTATCAGGATCTTAAATTGTAGTTCATCCGGTCATATTAATTTTTCAGTATCTGAAGAACCTAGCGCTTTCAGTGCATAATTCTGAATAAAGTTCTGCTCTGTCCTGATCTTCTTTCATCACCTGAGGTAGATTTCCATCAACAACTATCGAGGGAATCTAAGGGTTATTGTCTGTATAAGCTTTGTGTCATTTCAAATAACCTTTCCAAACTGACTGGTCATTATTCCGTAGGGTCTGTGTATTCGATCGCTTTCATGTCGTCCTTCAATGTACTAGAGAATGTCAGCTTGTTTGCTTAGTAGACCACAGTGAGATTGAACCTGAATATAATGACGTGGTCATTATATTCCATAGGTGGATGATACCGAACTCTAGAATCATTGTGAATTTTTGGCGATAATGTAATAATATCACAATATCACCACAAATCATCCTTGAAGAAGAACACGAAACAGCCTAGAAGACGCTCGACAGACTCCGAATAATTGACTAAGAAAAATGGGGTCCTCTTTTGGCTTTTCGAACGGGAAGTTTAGTCCCAACGTGATTTGCATTTATCGCAACAAAAGTACCATTTCTGATCAAAAGAATCTACCCTGAGCTATACGTTGAGTAGATTACTTTTTTTGAGTTTCACCCAATTTAATAGTTAACTGTGTTTTTGCCTCAGCTTACTATTTGGTTTTTTCTCAGTTTTTCACGTAAAAGCTAGTTCAGTTTATCTCATCCGTTTTTATCCATTTTTGTCCGTTTCCAGTGTGCTTTTTCGTGTATTTTTTACGGTCTTGGGCTTTTGCTAGCATCTATAACACAGTTTACGTCAATATGGTCATGAAAAATTCATGCAAACGACCGGGATGCCGTTTTGCTGTTACATCTAGTATGCAGTGCGACAACTGCAAAGGTTGGTTCCACGAAGCGTGCATAGATCTCACAGCAACTGCTTACAACAGACTCAGCAAGCCGGAGCATAAGTGGTAATGTGTTACGTGCAGCACGGATGCTGTAGTCTTGCTGAGTAATATCACTGTCCTACTGACAGGTTTGCAGAGTAAGTTGTAAGCAAACTTTGATAAAGACAGTCATAAAACGAGTAGACAACTAAAGCGCGCAACGAAAACAAGAATAGGGATGTTGACAAGTCTACCATCGATGGAGCATCCATTAGCACTAATGATGACGTGTAGAAGCTCAGCACCATCATTACGTCGTCGGTAATCGACTCCCTCAGTAACTTAACTGATTCCATTGAGAAAAGAATCACCAAAGTACTCAGAGATCTTCTGAAAGAGAAAATGATCGATAACTCTACTTACAATAATCTACGACCTCGTGGGTCTCGTTTGCCCCACATGTATGGATTACCGAAAATACATAAACAAGGTTATCCTCTTAGACCTATTTTGTCAATGATCAATTCACCATACCACAAAGTTGCACGATGGTTGGCAGATAAGTTAGAACCAGTGCGTCAACGATTAGCCACCTATACACTAAAGGATTCATTTGTATTTGCTGACAGCATGAATCACATAAATATTGCCGGTAAGTTTATGGTTTCATTTGATGTAACATCTTTGTTTACAAAAATACCACTTCTTGAGACCATAGACATAATTTGTCAACATTCTGACATTCTCCCTTTACCAGTATCAGAATTCAAACGACTTTTAATCATGTGTACAAAAAATGTTCAGTTTCAGTTCAACGATATCATATACAAACAAATCGATGGTGTAGCGATGAGAAGTCCATTAGGTCATGTCCTAGCAGATATTTACATAGCTAACCTCGAAAAAACCAAGCTCAAAGGAGCGATTGATGAAATGACGTATTATTCAATGTATGTTGATGATACATTCATTGTATGTAATAATCAAAAACATGCAATAAATCTGCTAGAGTTTTTCAATGAAGCACATCCAAATATCCACTTTACTATAGAACATGAAAATGAAAACAAGTTCCATTTTCTGAGTATCGCTGTAAAACGAAGGAAGGATGACAGAATTTAACGTTTGGTTTATAGGAAAGACACATGGAATGGGATTTATCTCGATTCCAATAGCTTTTGTTCAATCAGTTAGAAAACACTGCTTCTTCACAGAACAGAAAGAATATGTACTACAGATACAATAGAAGAGGAATCAATGAATGTTAAATAAGAACAACGGATATCCACTGAAATTTACTGAGAAATACGGCAAATGTGAAGTTAAAAAGCCGAAAGAAATTACAGCAAATAAAAAACGTATTTTTATTTAACTTAAATGCAAAGGCAATGATGTCACAGGGTCAATCAATATGAGACTCTAAACTGCATTAACACGAACTTATCCTGCAGCTAAGCTGATTGTCTAGTCCAAACCAACATGTTCTCTAACATAAGCAATGGTCGGTAGGTATACCTTACATGGTACTACCAACTCTGTATATAATTTTAAATGTATCTGCCAAAGTAGTTACATCGGTAGAATGGAAATGAGAGCTTACGTCCGATTAAAATAACATATTCCGAAAAGTTTAAGGTTAAATGGATTGAACGCATTCAACAGTGCTATCGCCAGACATCTCCTTGATACAGGACATAAAGCTGATATACTGAAGTCCTTCAAGGTGATTAACAATCAAACTCGAACCTTTTGAAATTCGCTGAAGCGTTAGCAATCAAACGTTTAAAACCAGATCTATGTATACAAAAAGAGACAGTAATAAATCTTTCTTTACCTTGGTAACAATAACCCCCACTCTTTCTATTAATTTGCTCCTATTTATTTATTTATTTATTACGTCATTATTGCAACTCTTTCTGAAATATAAATTACATCATACATAACTGATTGATTTCAATTCATATCTTTCTTTATTACCATTAATCAATTTTCATGAGTTCTAATCACTATTTCAATGTTCTGGAACTTTCCCTCTCAAACTTTATTTATTTATTCGAATCAAACATTTTATGAGCTCATTAACTCTATCTGAATATTCGCTACATCATCATACACATGTATTGATCCTTAGTCACATTCTTATATATAAATATGTCAATATCTGTATTAATGTTGAATTTTCAAATAATTTAGGTTGTAAGCAGCTGATGAGAACCTAACGAAATAAAATGAATTCATATTATTCTGCACCAATTTTTGTTCTTGCTCTCTTTAAAATAATAAAGGGAACTATGTGTATGAAATCCCTCAGTAAACTCGGGTCTCCCAGCTCAGGATCCTTGAATGCGACAGTGGTTCCCAAAAACTCTGTAAGTGATTGGACGCACGTTAACAGAGCTAAGAAGAACCAGGCGTCACCGTTTAAGCTGAACATCCCAGCTGTTGAACGGAAGTCAACTGGTGATTTGATCGCACAGTCTACCCCCAAGAATGACCGTCCAGTGATCAAAGAGCCTGGGATTCAGAAACGTGCTTCGGCCTCCAAACAACAAGGTGTTGAATCTGAACGCACCGGAAAACCTGGGAAAACAATAACGGTTCATGATAACTCTCTCATAATTATGAACCTCAAAGACAACCCTGACCTTCCTCTCAGTTTGCAGGACAAAATGACAGGGTGCTGTGGGGAGAATTGAACAAGAAACTTGAACTTCCAAGAATAGAGCCTTTGATGGTCACACGGCTCACTCGGGGAAAGGAATCTAAGCATCAAAATCACCCGAGGCTACTTCGTGTAACACTTAAGAATGCTACCGAAGTAGAGGATGTCTTGCTAGCGAGTCATTTACTGAAATCAGATGGGGACGTAAGAATACTGCCTGACATACCGTATTCTGAGCGCAATCTTATCCGGAACATCCCCAAAGAGTCTCGCGAGTTTTTCCGCGGAAGAAATATAATTGTGCAAGGTGTAAAGGAAAACACGGACCCTAATCAAGCAAACTCTGATATTAGGGAATGGAAATTCA